GGAAATATTGAAGATTCGAGGAAAATAATCGCTAAAATCGGGTAAAATATTTGAAACTATTGAAGATTCGAGGACAATAACTCGGTAAAATCGGGTGAAATATGAAAAATTGGAGGCCCAGCCCGTGTGACTCACGTGTACCGCTGGCACAGGGACTCGATGCAGATCAGGACCCGCACGTTGTCCCGGGCCCGCAGCTGCCCTTTGCTCCTCAGCTCGCTGTGATCTGGGAAAAACAGCAGGAAAAGGCTCAGAATTCCCCCAAAATCCGGGGATTTGGGGCTGTGCAGGGACAGCAGCAGCACCGGGAGGGGTTGGGGATGCAGAAAGTGCTGGAAGGTTCCTGCAAATCCCACGAGGGATCCGAGGGGGATCCATCAGGGATGGAAATTCTGGGAAAATCGGATTTTAAAAGGGAATCCAAGGTGGATCCATCAGTGACAGAAACTCTGGAATATCAGATTTTAAAAGGAGATCCATGGATGGATCTATCAGGCAGAACCTCTGGAAAAATGGATTTTAAAAGGGAATCCAAGGTGGATCCATCAGGGATGGGAATTCTAGAAAAATGGATTTTAAAATGGGATCCAAGGTGGATCCATCAATGATAGACCTGGTCATATCCAGGTTTTCCCAGGTTTTCCCTGGGCCATCTCCAGGTTTTCGCTGGGCCATCTCCAGGTTTTCGCTGGGCCATCTCCAGGTTTTCCCGTGCTCTCCCGGTTTTTCCCGGTTTTTCCCGGTTTGTCCCGTACTCTCCCGTGTTTTCCCGGTTTTTCCCGTGTTCTCCCGGTTTTTCCCGGTTTGTCCCGGTTTGTCCCGTGCCGCACTCACCGATGTGGATGTTGGCTGAGAATTGGTAGATGCCGCCCACGGGCGCTGTGAAGCGGCCGCTCGCCAAATTGAGCCCCGTGCCCCGCAGGAACGCGCCCTTGGCCAGCGGCTGTGGGGAGAAAACACAGCTGGGGTGACCCCAAATCCATGGGGCGACCCCAAATCCATGGGGTGATCCCAAATCCATGGGGTGATCCCAAATCCATGGGGTGATCCCAAATCCATCCCTGGGGCGACCCCAAATCCATCCCTGGGGTGATCCCAAATTCCTGGGCTGCTCCTGGCTCCATCACTGTGTTGATCCCAAATCCATCCCAGTGCTGCTCCCAAATCCCTGTGCTGATCCCAAAACCATCTCTGTGCTGATCCCAAATCCCTGTGCTGATCCCAAAACCATCTCTGTGCTGATCCCAAATCCCTGTGCTGATCCCGAATCCCTGTGCTGCTCCCGAATCCCTGTGCTGATCCCAAATCCCTGTGCTGCTCCCGAATCCCTGTGCTGATCCCAAATCCCTGTGCTGATCCCAAATCC